GGGAGAGAGAGGGAGGGAGGAAGGAAGGGAGACCAACCTCCTGGGGAGGGGCCCCTGAAATGCCCTTATAAGGAAAAGTCAGCTCCCCCCTCCTCGTTTCTCCCCTCCCCCTCTTTCTCTGAAGAGAGACTGAGCCGTACTTCCTGGTATATGGATGTTGGTGACGGAGATGCATTCAGCAGTGGAAAGAGAGGTGCTGGGGGCCCGGTTGTCCCAGAGGAGGGATCCTGGGGTGTAGGTGGTCCCATCGATCCATTCCCAGGTGAGTTTCTATTGGGGCGGAAAAGGGACATTTGGGGAGAACGTCCTTCTCCGCAATCGGAGCCACCCCCAGATATTGGTCTTGAGGGCCGCCCACAGGTCCCAGTGGCACAGAACTGGTCCCACTGCCACAAAATCCTCAGGGACTTTCCACAGAGGATTGGAAGGAAAGAGGAATGTCAATGGGTGGCCGGAGTATCCGGTGGTCTGTGAGAGGAGAGGGACTGGAGACCAAAGACCGGCCTACCTTGGGCATTCGCACAGCATGCATCCCAATCCAGGCATCTGTGGTGGTGCTGGAGCGCCTGATGTGGGAGGAGACAATTTTTTCCTCAGCAGCGGTCCGAAAAGTGGCCAGGTGGGCTCCAGGCCTCAGGTGCTGGCACTCGATCTGCAGGCGTGAAGAGAAAGAAGTGCAGAATAAGAGAGAAACCAAATAAGAGAGAAACCGAATTCCAGAGTAACAGAATAACGGAGTATGAGATTAACACAGTCAGAGAGTAACAGAACTACTAGAGTAACAGAACAAAAGTGTTGTAGAGCGGCGGTAATAACCTGAGGCAAAACTCGGAGCAAACTTCAACTGTAACTTCATTGCCACAATAAAGGGTTGCCGCGGCTGCCGCGCTAACAAGGCAGCCAGCTGGCGGCAACAGCTGATGCCGCTTGACAGCACCTTTTATAGCCGGCTGTCAAACGGCATCAGCCAATAGGTCCGTGTTCCCGCTAAAAACACGGACCGGAGTGAAGACTTCGGATTAGTCCATTGAGAATGCTACAAAAAGAGTAACAGAATAACAGAACAAAGTAAGAGTAACACACTAAGAGAGTAAAAGAACTACAGAGCAACAGAATAGGAGAGTAACAGAACTACAGAAGAGAATAACACAATAATAGAGTAACAGTATAAGAGAGTAACAGAAAAAGAGAGTAACAAAATCCTGAGAAATACGATGATAAGCGGAAACAGTTCAGACGGATACCTTCCTCATTCACTGAAGTGTAAGGTTAGGAAGCCTAAAGATCTTTGCACTATGCGGCTATGAGAGCCAATCTCAGTTAAGGGCAATCCTGGTCTCCCTGTCAAAACTTGGTGTAGCACACTGACCTCGGCCACATCCCAGGTGAGGGATATATCAACCGGTTGATAGCAATAGCGTCGATAATAAACGGCCTCTTCGGGACACTTGGCTCGTCCCTGGATCCCTGGGGAACCTGACGGAGACAAAGAAGTATCTTTAGAGCAACTGCTTTGGAAGGAGAGGTTGACATCATCCATCCCTCCAACTTTACACCTAATGGAGCCCAGTTCCACTCCGTCAACACCTCTGCCACTCTCCAAGACGGCCGGAAAGGTATTTCTCCAGTTGAAGGGCACCTGAAGCTTTGCCCCAAAATGGCACCGGCTGGGCCTCCTTCAGAGGACACGGAGGGGGGCCCACCAAGCTTTGCAGGAAGCGGGCAGGTAGAGAGGGCCCCGTCTCCCAGCTGCCTTCCAGCTGTCCCCCGACTCCTGATATTGGCCCCCTCAAGGTGTCCACTGGGCTGGCTCAACAGGTGGCACTCACCTTCCACCCAGGAGGTCACGGCCAAGCAGGCCAAGAGGCAGAATCCCCAGAAGGTGTGGTGTCCCATCCTCTTGTTCTCTTAAAACACGGAAACACAAGCACAATAAGTGAGATGGACCCACCAGGACAAGGCCAAACAGAAGGTGGAAGAGAGACGGAGCGTAAGTGACCCCTCGGTTGGGGCCGGATGTGGAGAACCAAGTACGGGCAGGAGAAGATCTGAGTTCAGCCTTCAGCCCTCTCTGCCCTTCACCATCTTAGAGGGAAAACTCCATGAATGGTGGCTGTGGATGATCCTAAAATGGCCGTGAGGGGCCTCCTATCATTGGGATTTAATGACTGTAGCAACACTATTCCTTCCTTCCCGTCTCCTTTGCTTTTGCCTTCTCCTTCTTCTTCCCTTCCTCTATCCTTCTCCTTCCTTCCATACTTCCTCTCTCCTTTGCTTAGTCTCTCCTTTTCCTTCCTTCCTTTCTTCCATACTTCCTCTGTCCTTTGCTTTTGCCTTCTCCTTCTTCACTTTCCTTAGTGTATCCTTTTCCTTCCTTCCTTCCGTACTTCCTCTGTCCTTTGCTTTTGCCTTCTCCCTCCACCCTCTCTGTTTCTCCTCTCTCTCCCTCCCTCCTTCCCTTCTCCTCTTTCCTCCGTCTCCTTCTCTTCCTCCTTTTCCTTCCATCTTTCCTTCAACTTCAAGAAAGACGGAAGATCCAACGGGAAGATGATAGAGAGCCATGGAAGGATGCCCACATTACCAATAACAATTTCTAGGTTACCTAAAACAATAAGGAAGCTTCAATCCAAAAAGAGATCACTTTGGCAAAAAAACATATCTGGTCACATTGCCAACTTCAAAAGCCCATACAAAAATCTATGCCACCAGATCAAAACTGAATGAACCAATTATCACATTAAACAAGAAGAAAACTTTCTATGCACCAATTCCACCCGTGCTTTCTACAATTTTGTAAACAACAAACTAAAAGACTCAAGGTCCATCCCACCCCTGAAAGGACCTAAAGGTCTTGGTAAAGACTGCAACAACGACACCATCAAACAAACCTCTTTAACGCATTCTTTGGCTCAGTATTTGTAAACAGCAATGGATCATGCCCAGTATTTCCTAGTCGAACCACAGACAACTACAATGATCTAATATATATCGATTTTACAGAAGATAATGTTGAAAAAGCACTACGCAATCTAAAACCATCTCTATTTATTGGACTGGACTCTGTCAAGGACCTTGGAGTACTCATCTCTAATGACCTAAGTGCTAGAGCCCACTGTAACTACGTAGCCAAAAAGGCATTAAGAGTTGTTAACCTAATCCTACGTAGCTTCTTCTCTGGTAATATCACACTACTAACTAGGGCATACAAAACATTTGCTAGACCAATACTTGAATACAGCTCATCAGTCTGGAACCTGCATTACGTATCTGATATTAATACAGTTGAGAAAGTCCAGAAATATTTCACAAGAAGAGTTCTCCACTCCTCTACTCCTTGCAGAATACCTTATGCCACCAGACTTGAAATTTTAGACCTAGAAAACCTAGAACTATATTGCCTTCAGTCCGATCTAAGTATAGTACATAAAATTATATATTGCAATGTCCTACCTGTCAATGAATACTTCAGCTTCAACCATAACAATACAAGAGCACACAATAGATACAAACTCAAGGTAAACCGCACCAAAGTTGATTGCAGGAAATACAACTTCAGCAACCGAGTGGTCCATGTCTGGAATCCTCTACCTGACTCTGTGGTTTCTTCCCCAAACCCCAAAAACTTTAACCTTAGACTGTCTACTATCGACCTCACCCCTTTCCTAAGAGGTCTGTAGGGGGCGTGCATAAGCGCACCTATGTGCCTACCGAACCTGTCCTATGGTTTCTTTCTATTTTGCTTATAAGTATCTATCTCATGTATTCAAAACTATATTTATTCTTATACCTGTATCTTGTAAGCGATTGACAAATCGAATAAATACTAAAAAATACTAAATTCTCACCTCTGCTTTCTCCTGCTAGATGCCTTTTCTCAAGACTGTCCGGTCAGCCTGGCCCCTAAGCTATTTATAGGCAGGGGTGCACCAACCCTGCAGATCCAAGAGGGCAATCACACCCAGGTCAAGAAGAAATTAGAGACTTTGTCCCAGTCACTTGAGGAAAGCATCCAGGAAATAATTCTCAGGGGAAAACAAAAAGAAATCCCATTCTGGTTGGGATTTGGAATAAACATAGCTGCCAGATTGGTGATAAGGACAACCTTGAACTGTCGTTCCATTTCCTTTATCAGCCCTTTTGAGACAACCTCTCTTTTGAGGATAATGCATTTTTATGGCTAGGTGAGAAATATTCTCTTCCATGTCTCTGTATCGGTTCCCTTCTCCAGGGGGAAAGACCCCATATTTTCTCTCAAGGGAAAAAATAGGAGACATCTGACTTTTCTTAAGAATAGGAAATATTCAGGGGGATCCAGAATGTCCCAGGACTGTCCAGACATTTTTATCTCCTACCAGTCCAGCTTTGAAACACCTGAGGATTAATTCAGGATTTTCTTCATAGTTTCCTGATTCTGAAGATTGATGTCAGGTCTTACTGAACTGGAGTAGTAGAAAACTAGTGCTAATCAGTGGAAAATATATGCACATTTAAAATTTGTAATATTTGTGTGATTTTTGGTTTTCCTGAGAAAACTACTGTTTGAAATAATCTCACAAAATGGGGTTCAGTGTAACTGCCTTGTTTCTGTCTGTGTCTCTGCAGCCCTTTTAATCCATTTTCCCACACTTAATGTCCATTGGTCTGTCCATCCTAACAGCTGTAGCCATTTAATTCACAGTCACTTAATCCTAAAAACCTTAGAAATTAGTAATATATGCCTATCTGGGGAAAAATGAATTCCACTGAACTCCAATGGTTTTTCTGCTGCCTTTTATTCTGCTTTAAAAATGCAGCCTTTCTTGATTAAAACTCTTTTATTAGATAATAAATTGTTATTTAAAAAACTCTTTTATTTAGCCCAAGTCTGAAAGTGATTTCTTCATCATATTCTTCCGGAGCAGTCAAAAAAGTCCAGATATTCCTCATTTGGGGGAATATTAATGAGAGTTACAGGTCTACCTCCCCCGGCAAGGGGCAGTCCCCTTCTTGAAATGCCTTTAGGATAGGATAGGATGGGATAGGATAGGATAGGATAGGATAGGATAGGATAGGATGGGATGGGATGGGATGGGATGGGATGGGACGGGATGGCATAGCATAGCATAGCATAGAAAATAGGAATAGAGTGGAGTGGAGTGGAGTGGAGTAGAATAGAATAGAATAGAAACTAGGAATAGGATAGGATAGGATATAGGAACAGAAACTAGGAATAGAATAGAAAATAATAGAAAAGAAAAGAAAATAGGAATAGAATTAAAGAATAGAATAGAAATAAAACTAGAATAGAATAGAATAGAAAATAGAATAGAATAGAATAAGGAAAGAATAGAATAGAATAGGACAGGACAGGGCAGGACAGGGCAGGGCAGGACAGGACAGGACAGGACAGAACAGAACAGAACAGAATAGAATAGAAAAGAGAATAGAATAGAATAGAATAAGAGAATAGAAAAGAGAATAGAATAAGAGAGTTGGAAGGGACCTTGGAGGTCTTCTAGTCCAACCCCCTGCCTAGGCAGGAAATCCTACACCACTTCAGACAAATGGTTATCCAATCTCTGCTTTAAAACTTCCAGTGTGAAGCACCCATAACTTCTGGTGGCAAGTAGTTCCATGGATTAATTGTTCTCACAGTTGGGAAATTCCTGCTTAGTTCTAGGTTGCTTCTCTCCTTGGTGAGTTTCCACCCGTTGCTTCTTTCTCCTGCCTTCAGGGGCTTTGGAGAATAGCTTGACTCCCTCTTCTTTGGGGCAGCCCCTGAGATGCCGGAAGACTGCTCTAATGTCACCCCTGGTCCTTCTTTTCATCAAACCGGAGAAATTTGCAAAAGTCACCTGCTCATCGGTCGGGTAGAAATGATACAACTTTTTATCTTCAAAGGCCAAGTGTAGATGGACCTGGCCAATCTTAGTCACTAGATAGTGCCCATAACAGGGAGTCCTCAAATTACAACCACAATTGAGCCCACAATTTTTGTTGATGAGCAAGACACTTCTTAAGTAAGTTTGGCTCATTTTACGACTGTGTCAGGTTTCCAAGTGATGACATCCATTTAAAAAGAAACGTAACAAAGTCCACCTTCAAAACAATTTCTTTTATTAAGGAACGCATCAAATTGGCAAAGTCCATGGTAATTCCGGATCTGACCCAACCCGGAATTACCCCACAATATTAGAAGTTAGAAAGAAAAGTCCCCAAAGTCACATTCTCCAACAGAAGTAATTCAACATTGCTTGATGTCATAAATCTCCACCTCAAGGGGCCCAAGCACAGACAGTTCTCTTCCCATGGGAAGGAGAACCACTTGGCCTAAACAACTCTCTCTTTATCTCTACTCCTCCCCACTTAGGAATGTGGCAAGCCCGAAACCCTTCCCCACATGACTACCACAGAGAAAGTAAGAAAAAGAAGCTAACTAAAATGGAGCCTAACTAAAATGGCTACACATATGTCAATTTCAGGCTTGACACACTGCAGTTGCTTGGTGAGTCACGTAGTTGTTAAGTGAATTCAGACTTCTCCCATTGACTTTCTCGAACAGAAGGTCGCAAAAGGGAATCACCTGACCCCCGGGATACTGCACCTGTCCTAAGTACAAGTCAGTTGCCAAGCGTCTGCATTTTGATCGCACGACCATGGAGGAAGAAGAGGCAACGGTCGTAAGTGTGAAAAACAGACATAAGTCACTCGTCTCAGTGCTGCTGTAATTTCAGCTAAATGGAATGGACGTAAGTCAGGGTTACGCAACACAACATTTTTGGGCCTTCCTGTGTCTTATGCCTTAAGAGTTTTTAAGATTTTTAAGACAACCCTGGGGGTTTTTAATAAGAGACTGGACGGCCATTTGTCTGGAAGGGCATAGTTTTCCTGCTTGAGCATGGGGTAGAGTAATGTGTGCTCAAAATTGGAAATCAGATAGTAGTCCTACTGATGATAGGATTATAAAAAAAGTAATGGATCGTGCGGAAATGAACAAACTCACAATGGAATTGCAGGACGGGGAAGAAAAACAATCCTTTACGGTCTGGGGAAAATGGTATGTCTGGTTAGATAACGGAAAGAAAAAAAGTAAAAATGTAATTGTAAATAATGTGTGTAAATGTGTGTAAAGGAGAATGGACTAATCGATGACACAAACAACTGCAAAAAATGTATATAGAATTTGTTTTTAAAGGTGAAAATTTTAATAAAATGTTATATTTTTAAAAAAGCAAAAAAAAAAAAAGACATACTTCACAAAGGAAATTCTGGGGGTGCTGGACTCCCCTTCCGCACCCCTATACCAATCCTTGCATAGGGGTGCTTCCCTGTTAAAAGTATCCTTCCACTATTGTGTGTCCTCACACCCAAGCTTAAGTAAGTCACACCACAGTTTCTCCTGCCACACCTTCCTTCCGTGCAGCCTTATCGTTCTGCAACCATCTCATTATGTTTATAGCTTTATTTTTTTTTTTATCTGTGTTATGTTCGGATTTTAATATTTATGGCCTTGGTTTCAATCCAAGTTCTTGATGTTCTTGAAGCCAGTTTGGGCTGGTGGGGAAGGCACCAGGCTGGAAACTGGGAGACCAGGAGTTCTAGTCCTGTCTTGAATACAGAGCCAGCAGGGTGAGCTTGAGCCAGTCACTTTCGCTCAGCCCCTGAAAAGAAACCAGAAATATTTTTGTTACGTGGAATACCAGAAAATTATGACAAAGGGACTATATACTTAATGTTACATGTATTGACCGCAGCAAGAACTGTACTTGCACAATATTGGAAAAATGAGAACACGCGGATGAAAATATAATCCGGAAAATATTGGACTGTGCAGAGATGGATAGACCGACATTGAAAATAAAAGATAAAGGCAACACAGAATACTACTTAATGTGAAATAGTTTTTTTATCAATGGCTAGAGTGGTAGAAATTAGATGAAGAAAGAAATTTACTTAGATTTAAGTAAAATATGAATGTTGTCTACAATTATACATATGCCAATATATTTAATAGGAACACAAATAAGCAAATATAATTATAAATATGGTTAGAATAATTTTGTTATATTGTTATTGCTATCAGTGTATATGTTATCTTTTTTTCTTTCCTTTTTGTAAAATGGATCTTGTCCAAAATGCAACCCATTCATGAATTGGAGGGAAGAAGGAATGCAATAAAATTACCTCTGTAATCCAGAAAAATTGACATAATCCAGAAAAAAATTGACAAATACACACACACACACACACACTCACATACACACATGTAATCCTCGACTTAACGACAGTTCATTTAGTGACCCTTCAAAGTTGCAACAAAAAGTGACCATTTCTCACATGACTGCATCCCTGCGGCCACCTGATGCTTGGCCACTGACTCATATTTATGATGGTTGCAGTGTCCCGGGGTCCTGTGATTCTCCTTTTGGGACTTTCTGATAAGCAAAGACAATGGGGAAGCCAGAGTCACCTCACAACTGTGTGACTAACAACTGCAATGATGCACTTAGCAAGAGAAAGGTCATAAAACGGGGCAAAACTCACTTAACAGCTGTCTCGTTTAGCAACCGAAAGTTTGGGCTCAATTGTCATACATTTCGGATTATCTGTATCTACATACACACTTACCTATATGTACAATAAAAACAGTGTTTATCTATCTGTACCTACATATCTATATTATTGCTATCTCTATTTATCTATATCTATATCTGTCTATATCTATTATATCTACATCTATATTTATATATCTATCTATATCTATCTATCTATCTATATTTATAACTTTATCTCTATCTCCGCCCCCCTCCCCCCCCCCTCCCTCCTCCCCCCCCTCTCTATATATAATGACATGAAAATAAAAAATGTCAACTTGATAAATGAAACTTGATAAGAAGAACAGTTCAACG